TCTAATACAACGTATTCGCGATACTCTGGGGCCATGTCAATCAATATCTGGACCATCATGCCAGTGATTTTCATGTAGATACGATCTTCTCCTTCCTTAGCTTCAGGCATATAAGTTTGAATGAAAGGGTTAGGCACGTCCATTGTCATTTTATCTCTACCCTTGTGTGCATCAATAACACAAGTAGTGGTGATTGCTTCCTGCAAAGTAGTTGGACTTGCAGTGTCCTCTCGCGATAACCATTCACGAGTTCCATCGCCTCGGTATACTAGGCGACCTTTAATCGTCTTTTCAAATTGTTTCTCCGCAAGTAACATCATTGCTGATTGGGCCTTCTTTCGCTTAGACACAGTCGTGTCTTTAACAAATTTGGGAGTGACACAATCTCTCAGGAGCACTTGTCTCAATTCCTTATCCACAGCATCCTTTCCATCATCACCAAACTTCTTCAGTCCTTGATTGATGTAATACTGTTGGATGAAGTTCAGACCTTCATCAGTATCGAACTTAGCCTTGATCTGCATCATGCAACAAGCGATCAGAATAGCGTCGTGCTCTTCATAATAGATTGTGCTGTGCTTCAAGGATAGCTTTGCTGTCTTTAGTACTGCGACTTCCTTCTTTGGTACAAATACCAGATTTTAAGTTGTTCTTCAACGGTTTCAATTGATTTTCTCAATGCTTGCGTCTTGTCGCAACTCGATTCTTGTTCTTATTGGCAGAACTGCCACTCCTGCTCAAAGGCCATTTTGCTTCTCTTGGTCTCTTTGGAACTTGGGAAAGGTTCAGCCCAGACATTGCAGCTTGTGCATACATTTGCCCAGATTGAGTGACTTTTGCTACTTGAGGCTCTTCAGGCTCAAATACAATCTCTTCTTCTGGCGGCTCTTGTAGGTCCTCCAGATCAGTAACGAGGCTCCCAATATCATCGGTTCCTCTATCGACATTTTCTTGATGGTGATCCAAATCGGCCACAATAGGTTCTTCCTCTTCATCGCCTTCATCACCCGAATCGTCATCTGATTCATAGTTGTCATCTCCACGGAATCTGAAAGTGAGTTCTGGCATATCATTGACATCATTTTCTGCATCTGCCAAGAGTTCTTCTCTTTCGGAGTCATAGATATCATCAAATTGTCCATGTAGATTGAAATCATGTTCATTCATCTTCAGGTTCATAGTCCCGATCAAAGGCTTCTTCTAAGTAACCTTGTTCCGTGTCATCCACTCCTGCGACTTGATTGCCATCTTGAAATGTCTCCAAATCTCTCTTCTTATCAAAGAACTTCATGGAAGTAACACCTTTGGCAGCAGCCCAAGCTTCAACACGCTGGATTACTTGGTCGGTAACGGGTAATACAACGACCTTGGGTCGGGAAATCATCTTCTTAGTATTGAGATTGAGCACTTGGTGCCCAGTACGTTGTCCCTTTGTAGGTTCAATGTAAATTGCTTCAATACTTTGGGGTTCCATCAAATTGTTGGAATCCGTCCCAATTGCATGAACATATTGTCCAAGTTCAGCAACTATGTCACTCTTGTAGTTGATATTGACATTATCAATGAGTTGCTGCGGACTGAAATGTGATGTGATACTGTCTTTCTGGGGAAAGACATTCAATAGCTCGGCGGCTTGACGTCCAAGACATTCAGTGATCACTTTTGGAACCACTTTGTAGGGTAATCGTGCAAGAGCTACTCTGACTCTTTCTTTCAGCGTCCTATTGCCTTGTTTCGCTCAGCGGTAGGCTGGTGGTCTCCAGCTGCAGTCCGGTCAATAGTAACACCCACATCGTCTAGCCTATCATCCGTGAGAGGAATGAACGCCCGATCACACTTGATGATCTTGACTTGAAAGCCTGCCTTGTTGTAGCGGCGGAATATCTTATCCAATGCTTCAAATACAGGGTCAGTCTTCAGGTTCTGCACAGGAATACATGAGCAATAACGCACAGTGGTATCAATGCAGGTGAGAAATGGGGTTGAGTATTTAAGTTGCTTAACTGGCGACGGTACATCGCACTTGTCTCTTTGGCACCTGGTTTGACATTTGCTCCAAGTTGCTCCAACACATACACACCCTTACGATTCACAAATCGCATCTTTGTATTACCCGTTACCGACCAAGTAATCCAGCGTGTTGAAGCTTGGGCTGCTGCCAAAGGTGTTACTTCCATGAAGTTCTTTGATAAGAAGAGAGATTTGGAGACTATGAATCAGACGATGATTCGGGTGATGTGACTTCCTTCTTTGGTACAAATACCAGATTTTAAGTTGTTCTTCAACGGTTTCAATTCTCTTTCTCAATGCTTGCGTCTTGTCGTAACTCGATTCTTGTTCTTATTGGCAGAACTGCCACTCCTGCTCAAAGGCCATTTTGCTTCTCTTGGTCTCTTTGGAACTTGGGAAAGGTTCAGCCCATCCTTTGGTTTCCCCTTTCCTTTTCCTTTACCTTTACCTTTATTATGTTGGTCCTTTCCTTGGTAGAGGTTCGCTCCCGGATTTTTACTCACTTCCATGTGAAACTTCAACATATCTTGTGCTGTGCTGACCGTCTTTGGATAATTATCCACTTCTCTGCAATAGTTTGTCTGAAGATCCAGCATAGAGGAGCTGTTCTTGTTTGATCGCAGTTGCACAGAAATCCTGTTGCAAAAATGGCTTCAAAGATATCATCCTTGAACTTGTTTTGAGCAGCAGTATCGGTGCTAGCAATAGCAGCATATGCTTTAGTCTTGATTGCAAAATCTCGGAACCAGGCCACGCCATATAGATCTTGCAGGACTTCAGCCTGTCTCAAGAATCGTTCCTTGAAATGCATCAAGTTTTCTGTTGTTCCTTGCTTCATAGCAAAGAACTTTTGATTCGCTTCCCAGAAATCCAAGAAATCATACTCAGCATCAGCACTCTTCTTCATGAATTGTTCAATACGTTTCAAGTGTTTGATTGGATCTTCAAGAGTAGTCATGAAATCGGCTTCACCTTGAAGCTCGATATCCATCGCCTTCGTCACAAACTTCAGCATGATGTTTGATTTGACGGTTCTCTTGTTTGTCTCAAAGTAGGCTGATCTTTGCATGTTCTCGTCGAGCTTTGCAGAATAGAGAATCTTGTTTTGGGCCATCTCTGTTTCTCTTGCAACAGCTTCAGTTTGAGTTGGAGCGTTCAATCTTGGAACGATCGCATTGAAGTTGATCGACTTTCCATCTTAAATTGATTTCACCATGTCTTCGGAACATTTCATTCCAGAAGCTTGGATAGACTCAATCACTCTTTCTTTGGCATCTTCGTACGACGATCTTGCCTTTCCATTGTTTTCATCTTTCGTTGAAAACAGATGTTTCACAACTGTTGAACTCAAGTTCCTGAGTGCCTTTAGCGCTCAGAACAAACTCTCTGCAATCTAAATTTGTAATTGACTGTACAACACTTTCACAACAATAGTTCTCCTGTGTGTAGGTATACTTTGAGTGAAATTGTTCCTATTTGATTAATATTTGGCTTGAATTGATGATTCAATCACAAAAGTAAGTTCAACAATTTTCCCTTGAAAAATTCCTTGTTCACAGAACTTGATTTGACCTCTACGACAATTCTGTGTTGAATGCAGTACTTTGGGGCATCTTGTATTATTCCCTACTGCATCGTACACAACATCGATATCTCACTTGTATAGGGTCATTCCCTTTTTGTGTGGATGTAGATTGTCCGACAGACTTGCGTCCGGCATACTTGCGTCAAATCCCGACATCACAATCAAAGTCTGATCGTACGTGTCGAAAACTCTGTACTTGAATAGTTTCTTTTTGGAACGTAAAAACTCATATTTTGTCATATCCCAACATTGGAGGCCAGGCAAAACAATCCACTAGAAAAATTCATGGTTTATCACTAGGTTTGGGCCCATGAAAAGCCGAAAAAAACATTAAAAAATCAAATAAAATGGCTTTGAACCATCAGTAGGAGTTGTACATACAAGGGATTTTTTTTGAGTTTGCAACACCAGTACAAATTTTGACACACCAACCAGTCTGGCTATGTGAATTCCTATGACAAAATAGTACTACAAGGATTTTGAACCACTTGTGCTTTGAAGTAGAAGGAATCATGCAGACATATGATGTTTGTAGTGATTATATTTGAACAGTGAACGCAAGATTGAAGCAAATACTGAAAGAGGACGCACGACATAAACAGAAACATACTATGCATGCCAGCAACACAGGTTTTGGAGGCCAGGCAAAACGATCCACTAGAAAAATCCAACGACTCATGAAATAAATGCTACTTCGAAAGTAGATATTGCAGGTTCAGCATGTTGATGCAGATTTATGTTGTTGTTGGGTGTTCATTGTGCTGATGGACATTTGTGATTATTGATTTTGCTCTCCAGATTTTGAATGAAATGAGAATGAGAATCGAAAGGCTTCTTGTTGGGATATGACGAAATATGAGTTTTTACGTTCCGAAAAGAAACTATTCAAGTACGAAGTTTTCGACACGTACGATCGGACTTTGATCGTGATGTCGGGATTCGCCGCAAGTATGCCGGACGCAAGTCTGTCGGACAAACTACATCCACACAAAAGGGGAATGACCCTATACAAGTGAGATATCGATGTTGTGTACAATGCAGTAGGGAATAATACAATATGTCCCAAAGTACTGTATCCAACACAGAATCGTCGTAGAGGTCGAATCAAGTTCTGTAAACAAGGGATTTTCCAAGCGAAAATCGTTGAACTTACTTTTGTGATTGAATCATCAATTCAAGCCAAACATTAATCAAATAGGAACAATTTCACTCAAAGTATACCTAGACACAGGAGAACTATTGTCGTGAAAGTGTTGTACAGTCGATTACGAATTTAGATTGCAGAGAGTTTGTTCTGAGCGCTAAAGGCACTCACGATAGAGCACATTTTGCTTTATTCTAACACTTCTCATTCTCTTTGCCATTCACGAATGTCGTTGTTAAATGGGAATACTTAGGAATTTTTATTAGCATTTATCAGCTTCAATAGGAAAGAGATAAAAGGTCCTGTGTTATAAATGTTTTCTATGTTGATAATGTAGTGTTCTTCGTTGGTGTAACGTATTGTTCTTCGTTGGTAGTGTAGTGTTCTTTGTAGGTACCGTTGTGTTCTTTGTTGCTAATGTAGCCACTACATTTGCCATTTTAGCAACGTAAATCTTTTACGTTGCTTACTTAGTGACTTTGTTAGCCACAAAAACTAACCTAGTACTACCTTAACGACAAAAAAGATTTCATTACATTTGCCACAAAAACTAACCTAGTACTACGTTAACGACCTCAACAATTTTACGTTGCCAACGTAGTGACTATGTTAGCCACAAAAACTAACCTAGTACTACGTTAGCAACGTGAAGATTTTACGTTGCTTACGTACAGTACTATTGACTACAATGGCAAAACGAACCTAGTACGCGCACTCCGGTAGCAACATAAAATCTTCACATTGCTGACATCACTACGTTAGCCACAAAAAACAACATAGTACAACAAAAGAGAGAGATACAGATCTAATTGTTCAATTAGTCATTGGAAGCTGAACATAGTCAATAGAGAGCCAATGATGATGAAGACACCAAATCAGGTGATTGATGACAAGAGTTCTGGAAGTACAAGAAAAAGAAGACAAATGAGGAAATTGTAGACAACAAAACTTATAGGAATCATACAATTGAAAATTGAAGGAAGATACAAAAGACAAGGAGAAAAGGATGAGAGCATGGAACAATGGAAAAAAAAGTTGGACTCAATACCATGTGAACTTACGGCATGACTTTTCAAAATTGAATCAAGAAAAGCTTGAACTGACAAACTTCTCTAACGGACTGTTGGAAAAGGAAGCCAAGGCTGATGCAATCTTGATGAAGGAAAAGGCCGACTTGGAACACTCTCCGGAGCCCATTCCACCCTTCCTTGTGAGCATGAATCCGTCGCCTGTTGCAAGCACGTCTTCATTCACCTCGGCGCAGCCCATTTCTAGCCTGAAGCCACCACCAGTTGCCAGCCAGAAGCCGCATTCCAAACATAACAGGAAAGCTTAGACAGAGATTAGTGAAAGTGCGCTTAAAGTTAGACTCGTTTATGTATACTTTCTGAAACACTTACCGGACACAAAGTTGGACTCCAGAACTTGATTGATTGTAGCTTAGAAATACACTACAAAGTACTGCACCTCAACAATTCAGTCTACGGTCTTTGTCGGTATCAGTGCCTGGCACTGGGTTCTTCAAATGATGTCACTTCCTTCTCATATGACTGACTGAATGACACAAATCAGTAGCTCCATGCAATTGGAACTCAAAATGAAAGAGGGAAAAAAGAGGAAGATAGAGCCTCCATGCAATCGGATCTCAAAATGAGAGGAAGATAGATTGAAGATTGCCAGGAAGCACATCAGTAAATATTGCTGTATGCTGTGTGTCGGACCAAGAGTGGTCAGAGTCCGTTTGTCGGCCAATCATTGGATTTGAATGGATGGTCACACAGACTACAGCACCTACAGCACTATGGTACGTAAGCGACATAAAATAATATTTTTTGTTGCTACATAGTACTACGTTAGTTCTCATGACTAACATAGTCACTACGTTAGCAATGTGAAGATTTTATGTTGCTCACATAGTACTACATTAGGTTTCATGGCTAACGTAGTCACTATGTTAGCCATGTGACCTATAAAGAACACTACATTGCCAACAAAGAACAATATGTTACACCAAGGAAGAACACTACATTATCGACATAGAAAACATTTATATCACAATAATAAATATAATAATAGTAATAATAACTGAGACATTAATCGTTATTATGCTACTCTGTGGGCATTTGATTGCTGGTGAAATATTTGGCTGTAAAGGTCAAGTACTGTGAAGCGGTGAGTCAACAACAAGTTTGAACCATGTGAGGCATCTGTATTCTGAACAGAAGTTGCTCAAGTCTCCCAAAGTGGTAAAGACTTCTCCCACAATGTGGCAGGGTGAATTCGGGGCATGTAAGGTCCCGCAAAAAGTTGGTCAGGGTTCAGGGGAGAAAACAGGACCTTTTATCTCTTTCCTATTGAAGCTGATAAATGCTAATAAATAGTTTCCTAAGTATTCCCATTTAACAACAACATTCATGAATGACAAAGCAAATGAGAAGCCTTCGATTCTCATTCTCATTCAAAGTCTGGAGAACAAAATCAATAATCACAAATGTCCATCAGCTGTCAGATGGACCTGCTCTACAGACCTGAATGGGAGCCTCAACGCCCTGTCTGTTTCAATGAGCAGTCCCTGAGATCGAATCTACATCGGCTATGGTTTGCCTTTGGGCACCAGCGACTCTGGGCCTCAGCCTCTGGAATAAGCAGTAGTCTTATTCAATCAAAGGTCTTACTTTATGTCCTATACTTGCTTGGACCTCAATGTCCACAATACTATTCTTGCCGGAACTCAATCGATAGTGAGACTCTCGATTGAAGTTCAGGATCATATTACAAATTCTCACGATTCTCGTTCTTGATCACCTTTCTACGTGTTGACTTGTTTGGACATACTGCGTTTCATACTACGCATGTTTGACACTCACGTCACTGCCGCGTGACGTCACATAGACCATTGATCAATAATCGACCAATATGATTGCTCAGTATATCAATACCTCCAACACACTCCTGTCGTTTCACCAGTGACTCCAGTGGATGGAACGAAAACATTATCTCTCAATATAAGTAAAATATCCAAGATCAATTATCAGGACTAATTGGATTACAGCCCGGAATTTGCGAAACTTTTCGCCCTGTAAAGGCTTTGTCATGTAATCTGCCCACATTTCATCAGTTGGCATGTGTTCAATAGTAATGTTGCCCAATTCGACTTGATCTGTCACA